ATATATATATATATATATATATATATATTGCTATATATATGTATATTTTGCTCTTTTTTTGTATCCTGCATCTACCTTTTCTTTTTTTACGACCACTTTTCAAACTACCTGTTGTTCTTAGCGTTGAAACCGTAGAAGAAGGCTGAAAATGGCCATTTGAAAAAATTGTCATAATGTATTCTAAGGTACGGTTCAGAATTGTCTAATGATTATCTGCGATATGTATTTGACCTTGCAGCATTAGAGGTCTTTTTACCACACCTTTGATTTTAGGTCTTGAGTCTGTTTTATTAACAATGCCAGCAACTATAATCATTGGCTTATGGTTTCACCGACTCAACCTGCATGGATTTGAAAAACCTGACAACATTCGTATTGTCGTTGTTGGCCCTCCGTATTGTTTAATTGACGAAAAATGGTCAGCACTTTATTTTTTGATGTTGTCATTTCTCTTGTCGTGAAAAGCTAACTGCGCAGCTACAGGTTAAATATTAGTTATTGTAAATTTTTAAGTGATAGTTGACAAGTTATATTGTGTTTTTCAATTGAATACGAGTATTTTTAATTGGCTGCAAGATTAATTGCAAGTTCTCACTTTATTTAACAATTAATTCTTGGACATATTTCAAAAATTTTTTGTTTGAGCAAAAATTTTGAAATAGATAAATTGACATTATTTTTACTGTTTTGCCATTTTTTCTTTTGATTCTGTTTTCTGTTTTCGATTAGTGACAAATGAGCATTAGAATTATGTATTAATTTTAGTCTAGTTGTGTTCAGTCTTATAATTCCATTCTTGTTTTCATGCATAATTTATTTTTTAGTTAATCGATAGTCCTAGTTTCAAAAAACAGTAATGACTTATTGGAAGAGCGGGAAGGTGGTTGGGGTAGAGCTTTTTTTTGACTGGAATGTTGTGAAAGTAAAGTTAATTGAGTTATTAACGTAAAAAGCAGGATTGAATAGCATGTTAGGAGGTTAGGTTTGAATTTATTTTTGTCTTCTGCGCTTTATGTCGTTTTTTAGTTTGCATGTAACGATAAAGCTTAGCTATGTATATAAATGGGAATTTTATTAAAAGCAATGATATGGATCACTTTTCACACTTTTTATGTAGCAGACAGCTAGAAGTCAAAGGATTGTAAAGTAAGAGGTGTTTCAACTAAAACAAAAACAACGTTATTTTCTCAAAAACGTTGATTGTTATGCTCATCCTAGCAGTTTTTAAAAAATTCGTTTCTCACACTAAGGTAAAATGACTTTGCGAAAGAGCTTTCAAATAGAGGGCTATATGGAAAATGATGAGGTTCTATAAATGTGCTTCAAAGTTTGATAAAAATAGTTAGCTTATCGGTTTGGGAAGCTTATGACCGCTTGGTAAAAAAACGTTTTATTTTAACAGCTTATTAGAAAAGCTTTTTTCAAACGACATGAATGTTTAATACGTCTTGCATCAGGTAAAGACCGTTAATAATTAGTTAGTGCTAGACCCATTTTGGTAAAGCAAAAATTTGACGCATAAAAATTTAGTTTATTTTTTGAGTTATGTTTATATCAACGTGCTTTGCTTTACTTAGGTGAGGAGAGTCTCTACTTTTCTTCTAATGTTGATAAAAACTCTGGAAGGACAGGCTAATTTCTTCTCTGTTTGTTGCCAGTAGACACGCCGAGCAAAGAGCGAGAGAGGGGAGTTACGGGAACAGGGAGAGGAGAGAGAAACGGGATTGGAGTGGGGGAGGAGAGGAAGTTTAGTTGTGCACTGTTGTTAGATTTACATCTCGACAAAACCTGATTTGTAATTATTACTAAAAAATTTGTGGATGATGTATTTCTACTTCTTATTTACATGGTTTTCAGTGATTAAAGTTCGTGTGGCAGAATATAAAAAATGTTATTAAATCTTTTTGGTGCATACGTGTGGGCACACTGGTCATTCCCTCAAACAAATCTTGTGCTGAGCTTCAACAGCGAGTCATTAAAATTGATGAGTACATTTTGAAGGGGCTGCGCTCAAAGTGATATGGAAGAAACGTTTTGAGTGTTAAAGTTATAATACTCTTATCTTCCAGCTTTTTAATGCTGCGGTAGTAAAGCTCAGCTCATTTATAATATCACACCACGTGCTTTTAAAAATGTGGTTTTGTGGTATCGCAGTTAAAATCGCTCTTTGCTATTAGATTACTTAGAAAACACTTTATACTTCTTTCTGGTCTTGAGGATAAAGCAGGTATAATGTCAAATTTCTTACGGGGTAGGAAGATGAATTTTTGGAAGTATGGGCAGTTAAAGAATTTTCTTTACATTTCATTTTACTTTTTCGGCGGGGTTAATTTTATGAATTAAGATGTATTGCAGTTCTAACTACAGTTTCATTTGGGAAAGTTGACTCAGCTGCAGAGTCTTTGCGAAACGTTAAAGTTTTTTCCGCTTGGTCAAGTTTTGATATGTCTGACTTATGACCAGAAGAAATGGACGTAAAAATTCGTTTTCAGCAGTAAAAATCAGATTTTTTTTACAATTTTTGGTGTCTTATTACTGATGTTACAAGGATTTTTTTTGCCTAATGGATTTTATGGCACAGATTGTGAAGCCTAAATACGATAGCGTCAAATCAATTTCTTCTTTACGGTTTATATTACAAATTTTTTAAAAATGTGTACTGATTGAAAATAAAAAAAAAGAAGATTGAATTTTAGAAGTTCTTAAAATTAAAACTAAATTTTTAGAATTAGATAAGCGGCGACTTTGATTTAGCCGTTTTGCACCTCAGGATCAATCAGAACCTGAGGTTTGTTAGGATGGAAGGTCGTCCCAATGACGATAGCACTACGCTCACAAAGTAGTAGATGCGGATTTGGTCTGCTGTGTGAGAGAGCCAAACTGTATGGACTTTTTAACGTTACCAAATATTGTTCTTTTGAGGAATAACTTGTAAGAGTTAAAACTGGAAATATAATCAGTAGATTTGAGAAAATGAGAGAGTTTTGAAGTCTGTAGTAGTACCTTAGAGTAGGGAGTCAATATGCAGGTCACGTTTGCAGTGCTGTGCGTACAGCTACTTTCCTAATTCTGATTAACGGTTTGTCCGTAAGTAGCGAGGAAACCGCAGTACAGTAAACGGCGTCTTCTGTTGTCTTCGTAGGTTTTAGGTTGCAGATGCTTCCATATCTGTTCCTGTCGTATTTGGCGGCCTCTTAATCAAATTTTAATTATCCTGTTCAGTAACATTAGCTAAATCTTCTGTCCGCTCTGATATTTCTGTCTTTCAAAATACTTTTATGAATGTGTTTATTAATGAGATTTGAAAATACTTTCCCCTCCTGAAACAAATGTGACGAAAGGAAACTTGGAGGGCATTTTTGGAGCTGAAACATGTGTAGGGACGACTGTTGCTGCAGATTTCCGTATTGCAGCTATACTGTTGTTTATGAACGGTTCATCGCTTGTGAACTCTGTTAGCAACTGCACAGTGATGTTGTAAGAATGGGTCGCAGGCTAGGTTTCTTTCCCTACACTGGTGCACTTTCTAAATTGCTTTCGCATTTGTTGTGCCTTGATTAAGTTGTTAAAAATTTTTACGTTGCTCGTCTTTAGTTGACAGAATTAAGTTAAAAGACAAGTTTATTTTCTGAGGCGGAAATTATTGTCAAAAAAATTTTTTTTTTGCGATTTGAAGCAAATACTGCATATTTTTTTTAATTTAGTTAACTGGGTGTTTTTTAGAATTTTTGCTATAGAAAGAAATTAAAGTGATTTTAAAGAGTAGCTTGCGGTAAAAAAAAAAGGAGCTGTTTTGTTTTTATTGAAACGCCACTTCTTACTGCAGTATGTTTTCTTTGCAGAATAGTGTCATTTGAAATCATTATAGTTATGTGCCATAATTGAGTTGTGCTGAATACACCGGTTTTTAGTATTGATGTACTATACGCCGTTGAAGGCCCACGAACATTTCGAGACCATGATCATGCTCAACTCTGTGAAAAGATCAAAGAAGTTGCTATCAAATATGGGAACGACATTCGACGATTATGTGTTTTCGAAAGAGCTTTAAGGAGAGAAGCTGCGATTATTAGGTGCGCATTATGTCAATGGTGTTACTTACTCATAACTTAATTCTTCAGTTTGTCAGACAAGGAAAGATTTGCTAGTTTGCTTTTGAAAGTCCTCGCAGAGGCTTTCTACACTGTCTTTGATGAGGTATTATACAAGCGTTAAAGTACTACAGTGTATTACAGCAAAATGAAATATTTTTTTAAATCTCTCTGATTCCTTGCGACAGAAATTATTAGACACTAATAAATAACCTTGTTACAAAGCACTAGGAATAAACATTTTCAAAAGAAAATTTAAAAAAATTTGTAGCGAAGTACTTTCTGAGTAAACAAAAGCCAAATTAGGTCATTCTTCAAAAGGAAAAGGTCAGAAGTACATGGGTGCTGTGCCCAGAACGTGTCGAGTCATGAATTATTTTTTGTTATCTGGCTGAAGCGCATTACATTGTTAAATTTCAGCTCTGTTTAGTTTCAACAGTTACAGGAAAGAACTGGAAATTGAAGGAATCTACCCAGATCAGTTAGAAATGTTAATTGCTCTGAAGACTATGAAGATGAAAGGATTGAGAAATGGCTTGAATTCTATAAGGTGTGTTTGTTTCGGACTTGTTTTGTAAGTGTAATTATTTCTAATTTCTTACAGAGTAACGGATGACATTGTATTTTTATCTTGAAACTTCTACTGGCGAAAAGAAGTAAAATTTTTTTAAGACAGTGCTCAATGATGCAGTCTCATTCAGAGGACTGTATAAAGAAAGCTAAAACTCAACTTGGCGGTTTTCCAGTATTTATAAAACCTGCTCGACCTGGTAATAAATGTGTTCACAGTTACTCAGTAGCATCAAACCCGGAAGAAATGAGAGCATGGATTAAGGTTTTGAAACTGCGGTTATTTGCTGTTTTTTGTATTTATCTGGCTTATCTTAATAGTAATTGTTATATTACATCAAAGTCTCAAAAGTTGAACTTGGAAATGGTGTTAAATTTTGCTGCCTCCTTTAACTGAATGACGGACGGGCAAAACTTTTTTCTTGAGAAATTGTCTGCTGATTGAGTTTCTCATGATCCGAGTAATTCTGTGTAACTTTTAATGCTGATTGGCATAGTTGAACAGTCTTGGTTTATTTTTTTTCAAATAATCTTCAACTAACTATTTTTCGAAAAAATATGGAGCGTCTCTGATTATTTTGACAACTTTGTATGTAAGACTTTTTCTCCTTAATCTGAGTGTTTTACAAGAACATCTAAGTAATTTCGACATTTTTCCTGCTATAAAACGTCAAAATTTGCTTTTTATGTAAAATAAAAAACCAAATACAGACGAAAGCTCGGAAGTGAGTGGTTCCCACTAATTGTAAAAAGTATTTCGGGAAAATTTTATTTTGAACGGTAAAATTAGATTCTGGGGAAGGTAAAAAAACGACAATGTAGCAACAGTTTTATCATTAGCTTAATCTTCTGCAGGCTATGATATAAAAATAAATTTCTACTCACCGATAACTAAAGCAGGCATTTTTGAGATTTTTCTCTGAAGTGACTGATTACTGGAAGATCATCACTTAAAAATTCATTCATGTAGAACAAAAGTTTGAAAAAATCAAAAGATATGAGTAAAATTTTTCAGATTCAACTCACAGAGGTATTTGGTAAGAGTCAACTGAAATTTTCTGTACATACGCCAGCCTACGCCATGAAGCAGTAGTCAAGGCGGTTTTTCGTAGTGATTGTCATGGCAAAAGCTAAATTTTTTAATATTATTTCTTGGAAAAAAAACTTCCTTCATCTTTCTCGAACTGAAGCGGCAGGGTAGAAAAAAGACGACTAATCTACGAATAATTACAAAAATCGAACACGTTTGAGTATTATGATTCAAGTGGTTTAAGTCTGGAAAACTCAAATGATGTAAGCTCAACAATATAAATATCTTAGGTAATGTGAAAAGTAGTGAGTGTTGAGTGGATGACCTAGAAGAAAGGTGCGGATTTAAGAAAGAAAGAAGTGGCTGTTTATGTTCATGGAGCAGTAGATACGTTGTGGGGTATCGTTGTTGCTTATTTTGGTATTATGGTCTTTTACATATTAAGCTTACTAAGCGGTGCTTGGATTAGACAAGATTTGTTGTTAGGACCTTGTAAGTAGCATGTATACTTCAAGTATCATTCAGTTGTCAACTTACTATTAATTACTTTTTCTAAAATTCTTTTCTGGTTTCTTAGCCGCGAGAAATGTAGAGAGTGAATCATTCCACTCTTGCAAATTTTAGTTTTCAGGGAAGGTGCGTCATTTTTGCTCTTTGTTAAAGATGGTTTTGTGGTCAAATAAGATATCCGCTTGTTTTATTTACTTCCTCTTTTGTTTAAGCTTCTCGAGTTCAAGTTTTGCTGTAATTTCTTGTTTGTGCTACTTGTAATTGTAAGTTTTGTGGTAGATATAAATGAGGAGTTTAAAAGTTAGTATGAGGAACTCATCTTTTAAGTGGCACAAAATTTCCTTCTGGAAGCACAACGTCTGACAATTACTTGCAAAAGAGGTGCAGGGGATTTAGAGTTGATGACTTGGCCATTCGGTTTATCAATTCAACCCTGAAACGGTATCCAAAATTTGTGATGAGTCAGTCAAAAATTGTGTTAAGAAAGCAGGTCTTTGATCGGGGCTCTTGCACAGTGACGGCCTCTTATATGTATATTTGGAGGAATGGTCTCATCCCATCCCCTTTGCTGTTGCCTCCTCTCGGTTTTTATTGTCTCTTTCGATGTTTCCTTCAATTTTCTTGGCAAAAAGTAGCTGAGGAATTAGCACACTCGGTCCATCAATGTGCAAGAGGTCTCTTTGATCATCTAGATTTTCCAAAAGTTTTTTGCTTCAGAAATCTCCAGCATGTTGTGCTATATTTTAACAGATTTGCATATTATCTTCTAACAGTTGAATGTTTTAGTAGGATTGATTCGCGCAAATGGAAGAAATTTGCTTCGTAGGTAAACATCTCTAAAACATCTGCCACTTTTACTGTTCAGTCCTCACCATTTCCCAAAGCAAGCCTTCACTTAAAACTGTTGGACGAGGTTGGAGGAGTATAAATTGAAGATATAGGAAGCAAATGCGGCAGGGACTCGCGATTTTTAACTGCAAAAACTATATCAGATATTGAGCGGTGATCGGTTAAGGTGTATCTTCCTGCGAGATATCAGGCAGAAATCATTCACTCAACGTCTCAAAATGTGTCCTGCTAATGACATGATGTTGTTTATGCATATCCTTTACCTTGCTACCTTTTCTTATTATGCTTTGACCTGTTTTTCGAATTCACGCTTAAAATAAAGTGTTTTAAGCGTACTTTAACTGTTTTTGCTCTTAATTCTACCATCTGTAGCTAATTGTGTTGTGGGCTGCAAAAGAAATAACCTGGAACGTTGTCGCTTTGTTTGCTCGGCTTTGCTGTGATGTTTAATTTGCTTTATTCACTTAAATTAGCGTGGTTTGGGGTAGATTGGCTAGTCTGTGCGTACACGTCCCTATTAAACAACAAAGTTGCTTTCCGGAAAGTAGCAATCCTTCTCCTTATGAGGAAGTAAGGAATCTTGTAAACTGCTAGATAAAGTAGTGACACAGAGAGTAATAAAGTAATGAGGAGTGATGGAAACTGCACTGGTGACTTCTAGAACTTTTGAGTTATAAAGTAATATTCCTTGTATAATTTTTTCTAAGTTTTTAAAAAAGTGGCAAATATGACACCTGCTTTAGCACGGAAGCCTCCAAATGCAGATGCTTAGAAATCAGTATGGGTGATATCTAACTCGAAGCGGGATATAATATATAGTAGCAGAGTCTTAGTCGCATAATTTTTTTTGTGGTTTTACTTTATTGCAAAAAAATTTTTGTATCTGCAAAGAATGTGTTTTTCTTTCTTCTTTTTTGCTCTTTTTCATCGTCATATTTACTCACGAGTAATCCACAGTAACAATTTTGCTCTAGAATTTTTCTGGAAGATGGAAATGAGTTATTGGGATTGTTTTCCCAGCGCAGAAGCGCAATTGTAGTTCTTCTCTTACGGAACGCTTGTGATCGATAAAATCAATTTCTTTCCGCTTTTAGAACATATTTCTTCTGGGCCTTTATTTCAATTACTTTTTGAAAATAACAAATCTTTTTTCTTCTCATCTGCAACAGTCTACAAAAGACACTTCAAATGAACACCTGCGTGTGTAATGTAAGTAAACGGTAAACATCAGAAAGAAAGTTATACTTTCATTTTTTTTTTTAGGGGCTTAACTTATAATGCGTATATGTACGCTTTTTAGGACCATGAACACAGCATGAATTACCGATCGGACTATGTGTTTGAAGAGTACCTTTCTAATGGACACGAGTTTACCGCAGTATGTTCAAAAACTGGTCTTATAGGTACTTTCCAAACTTTTATCGTTGAAATTTTACATATACGCTTTATGAAAAATTTGGTTCATTAGTGTGAATAGTTGCATTGTCTTGTACTATTTAAGTGAAGATTAAAGTATTTATTTGTAAAGAACTTTCTGGTGAGGTTCGATGTCAAGAACTATCTTAATTTTTAGTCTACTTTTAGCAGTTTACTGAGTTAGGTCTGTTGATTTTAGTAAAAACTACTATGTCATCTAAATACTTGTCTCTTTTTCTTTTTCTAGATTTCTTTCTTACCACTCTGATGAAAAGGTTTATAAAAGAGAATTATGCAGGATTTAAAGGAGTGTCACCAACTTTTTAGTCTTCTTGATTCAGGTTCAATAGCAACGATGGATCAAAGTAGAACGCTTTATGAATGCGTTAAGAACAAAAAGCCTTACGCCGTTGAATACCTTAACGTCGAACAGTGTAGAAACTGCTTACCAGGGATTGAATCTTTTGTCAACAAAGCTATTAAGTCACTTGATCTCAGGCATTTTGCGAAAAACTTGCTTTTTATTAAGGGGTTTTATAAAGTAAGTTATTTGTAGTATATTAGTACCTTTATTTTTTTTGAAAATGTCTATTTATGAAATGTTTGCGGCGGGGAATGTGACCTGTTTTTATCTCGTTTTGCTGCCAAACAAAATAAGCGTTTCAGGCGCATAATTTAATAAGCTTTATAAGTGCTTCATTTGAGCCGCGGTCGGAAACTGACTACAGGCTGCTGCAGGAAGCCAACAACTCAGTTAGCTGGGAAGTACTGCATCTCAATTGTGTTCTCGAAGTAAGAAAATTGAATTATTTTACATTCATTCATTGTTTTTGTCTCATGTGGAGATACTTTTTGAAAGGTAGCAACAGCAGAAATACATAGTTCCTTATTAGAGACATTCGACAAATTCCTGAAGACCAGTTAAAAATAATATTTAGAAGTGTGGATAATTGTTTCTTCTTAATGGTGACTTGAAAATGAGTTAAGGAGAACTTACTTGAAGTGACTGTGAATTCTAAATGCAAATGAGGAGGAATCTTCTTCCATTTTTAATTTTGTAAAAAGGAATGTTAACTTGCAGTTTGTGGATTTTTTTAGATTGTTAGAAGTAAGGTAGAGATATTTTTTATTGGCTGTGGAACCTGTAATGAAACTGTTTTTCTAGTCTTTTTCGTATAAAATGTAAACGTAATGAAAGTTTAAAGGATTTTAAAATAGTCATTTTTTGTGTCTGTCCGATATAACGTCTTTTAGTTTCTCTTTATGTGACAGGAGGCTGTTAAAAAATTTTAATAGACTAGTGGGATAACTAACTTGGACTGTGTGTGTGGAATGTATGGATGTTTTTTGTGGCAGAGAAACAGAGCAGTTGACATTAATTAGTAGTATGAGGAATAAGCGTAACTTGATCTAATTTCAACCAGAAGGCACATTTTTGTGACTTTCAGCGAGCGATACGTAGGTTTTAGATCTCACATTACTCCAGAAATATTTGATACAAAGTTGCCAGTAGCGTTAGATGCGCAGTTTGATAGTGCTTAGCATTTTTTAGTGAATTAGTTTCTTTTGAAAATGTGGTGTAGTGCTCAAACATGTGCATGAATTTTTGCGCAATTGATTACTTTCAAAAATAAGTTAAAGAACTGCTGGAAAACTGTATTGAACACGTTTGAACACGGTTTTAACGAACTGTGTCCAGTGAAACACGTTTCTGGAGTTGAATTCTGGATATTGTTTTGAAGCAAGTGCTTTTTGAACATGCTGCTTATTGAAACGTCTACCTTTTGGCCTGATTTCAAAATGATAAAGTTACCGAAGTATAAAAATGATGCGCTGCATTAAATAGTGTCTTAACTTGGTCAGCAGCTTTCATTGGTTGGTAAGCTGAACTAACTGTAAAAATGGCTCTGAAAAGCGCATTTTTGACACGGTAGAAGAATTTGAAACTTTTGAGCCAGAAGAAAGCAATTTTGATAATACCTTTTAGGTTAGAAATGAACTTTATAACAGAAAGTTACATCACGCTGAACGATTTGATAATTATTACTCGGATAAATCTGTTCTAATATCCCTTTGTTCAAGATTTGAAACAAACTAGATATCAGATGTAGATATACACAATTTGTGCTTAAGAACTGTTTCTGAAGATTGATGTAAACAGCCAGCGCAAGAAACTGACCTAATTTGTGACGAGCAAGTCGCGGTATGACCTTTGATTATGTTGGAAAAATTGCTCTATACATTTGCAGCCGACTTCCTACACCAGAATCGTGCAGACTTAGTTTTTACACGGGTATTGATTTAGGCTTTAAAAATGCGTAGTTTTGAGCAGGTTTCAAGCTGTCGCATTCAAGGGTAAAAAAAACAATTGGAGCGCGGCTTGGTTAAGTTTTGAAAGCAGTTGTTTTCTACTGCAAAAAGGTACTGCCTTATTGGCAGAAGAATTTCCAAGAAACAGGCTGTACTGGATTGGTAATTTTATATTTCTGAAAAGGCGACTCTTGTCTAGGTAAAATTTTTGAACTTTTCAAGAAGCATGTGGTCAAGTAGACTTGTTTTGAATAATTTTTTACTCATTTATGACATATAACTTTGAAAGGTTGCGCTGGGTTGGAGCTCTAATTGTTATTTATGCGGAAAATGCCATATAAAAAAACCGGAGCTTAGACTGGAGGCCTCATTTTTTTTCTTCAAAGACCACCCAACGAGGCGGAGATGGAGTTACCAACCCAAGCAGTGTACCAGCATGTAGCATAGTGCTTGAGCTAGTAGAAGTCGAGTAGTTTTTTACTGTTTAGCCTGCCCAAATGCGGCATGACTAATGTGAAGTTGGTAAGCAAATTCACTTATAACTGTTAAAGTGTCGATGAGTTTCTCAGATAAAGGTTTGTGGCGCAGAGGTTGACGGCTATGCTTTAGGAAGAATGCACGTAAGCTGCTGTACACTGTCAAACCAGTAAGCAGTGTAATTGATAGCCATGTTTTGAATGGAACAGTCACTAAAATAAAAAACGTCAGAAGGCTTTCATAGTCTGCCGAAATATAGGTTGACAAGAAGTTTTTGTTCGTATTTTCTTTCTCTGTTTTTTTAATTCGTGGTTTAGAGCTCTACTAGATAACAGATTTTTGGAACAGAGTATAAGGTATTGGTTAGAATAAGTATAAGACTGGACAGAGATTGGCTAAAGTTTCCACACCGAGGTCAAAACTGGAAATTGTGTTGTACGAGACTGTTATGTACAATGTAATCTTGAAAACAATGACATTGAGATCTATAACTTGTGCAAGAAAACCGAAAGCAGTTGTGATTCACATTAAAGTATCAGGATCAAATGTCGCTATGGTAAATATAAATTGGAAAAGATGGTACACACGCTTACTTTGGGTAGTGTAGGAACCTTCCTTGATAATACTATAGCCGGGGATCACCGTGCTACAGTGCTGAACATGAAAAAGGTCGGGGCAGTACTGCGACGCTTTGCTCACCTTTTGTCTACGAGATGCTGCATCCAACTTATATATTTCTCTATTTCTGTGATAGCGGTCCTATTGCTGCCTTCTTTTAAGGCATGTGATCATTCTGTGTAGTCCTCGCTTCATAGTACATCTCGTCATCCAACCTGTAATGATGAAACTTGAGGAGGAAATTTGCTTATTGCATGTGGTGGTATATGGCCTCAATGAAATTTTAATGTTT